TGTTGTTTTTGTTTACTTGCTGTTCCGTCGACTGACGTTGTCTTGAGTTCGAGTTTCCGGCGCCTTAAAAAATAAGTTGACACTGCAATCGCCAGCAAACCTGTAGAAACAGCCAATTCGTCCTTAAGAAATACTAACGATAAGCCACTGAAACGAAATAATTGTTAGACGTTGAGTAAATGAATAACTAAGAAAGAAAAATGTCTGAAATACTGCATTGTTAATTCAATTATTTCATGAGATTAACAGGGCGTATAGTAATGTTGTATGTATTTCATGATATTCACAGTGTGTATGTATAATTGTGTTGATAAGTAAATTAACTGGTGTGTTAACTGACGTTAGCAGTAATATAACGCCTGATCCTCGTATCCTGCGAGGATTAATTGGGAACCATAAATTTAGGAATTACTATAGGAATTGTATTAATTCTATGAATTTACCCGGGGGAAAGCAATTAAATTTGTTTTCCAGCAATGCAGAGTAGTCTTACTGATCTGGATAATCCTGAGAAGTTCCACTGCTACAGGCAACGTTATGTATTTACACACAACATCCCGAACCTGTGTTAACCTGCTCTTTGTAGAATGAATGAAGTGTATATTTTTGTGCCGGTGAATGATTTTCCGTCACGATAAATGATTTCACTGTAAATTATTATTTTACTAAATTAAACATAAACATGGAACGATTTAAATAAATATACAAGGTTTTAGAATCATATTCAGTATGACCTAAGACAGTAGCGAGGGAGAAGGTGAAGGCCAGCAGGACAGGCAGGCCGCCTAGGGGGAAGGCCAAGGGTCCGGCCTGCTGCTCACAGTTGTGGCCTGCGTAGCCGCTAGTGCAGGAGCAGTGGTAGCCTGTGATACGGGGCGGCAAGTGGTGATGTTGAAGAATGGAAGTGACGTCCACAGTATTAACTCTATTACTTTGTAGGTAATGATTCATTGATGTAGGTAATGATTTGTAGGTAATGATGCATTGATGTAGGCAATGATTTGTAGGTAATGATGCAGACTCATCAATGCTGTTGCGCATTGATGAGTCTGATGTATTATGTTCTTTGATATGACAGACTTTTTTTCATAAAATTCAAAATGAAATCAAACTGGGGAGTTAAAGCTTGTAGGAACATCGAGAGAAGACAAGAAAAATGAGCAAAATTTATTCTGAAGAACTTTTTTTACCTGAAATCGAATTGTTTTTTTGCATTCATTAATCAGCAGAACCATTTCCATGCACACGAAGACGTGCACTTAATACAGCTTCTTGATAAGAAAAACAGATCATTTGTATCAATGAGGGATGAATACGAACAAATTAAACCAAAGAGGACGATTTCCGTATGCCTAAAAGCAGAGGTGGGCAGTAGCGCGCTACATGTAGCGGTAGCGGTAGCGCCCGCTATATATTTAAGTAGCGATACGAGATTTCGCCGCTAAAGCGCTACCGCTACATTTATAGATAAAGCCTTTAGATTTTACTTAATGGTATTAAATATTATTTAAAAACCAGCATGATACATACATAATATAAATTACATAATAAAGCTGTACGAAAGGTTTCGGTGTAATGTTGTCAACCTCAGCTTGTTACTAGTGACAACATGTTAGTTGTTACTTGTTAAGTTGTTCCCAGTTACCACTTACAGGTATTTTTTCATGTTTCAGTTTGCTTACAGTTATTTTTACATAGTTATTTTTTTGTTTCACCTTCCCTACATGGATTTCCACTTTAATCTACCAATCTCAAAAATAATCCACATATATATGCAAATAAAAGACTGATTTTTTATATGTATATGTAGACAATTTTTGAGTTTGGTAGATTAAAGTATACATCCATGTAGGGAAGGTAAAACATAAAAATGACTGTAACTTTTATTTACTGTATCTAATTCGTACTACTTCGGTTAGATTAATTGCAATAAAGTTGCATTGATATGTTTTGAAAATGTTTTATTATCATTAAATGTTTATGAGTAAATCCCAATAGCAGAACAATAAATATTTAGAGATTTCCAATAATTTTGGCCACTGTAGCGGCTAATGTAGCGGCGCTACATTTTACTGTAGCGGTAGCGGTAGCGCCGCTGCATTTCAAAGTAGCGCTGCCCAGCTCTGCCTAAAAGTAACGTTCACCGTCTAATGTGACAGATTCACCTAATATTGTAAACCTTATACGCAAAATGTACACTTTTACGACTCCATTATTACGTCATCTTCATCTTCAGGATACAGTAACTGTTGATACTGTACCATGATACATAGTTGAAGAAAACTCCACTACTGAGGGCGCACATGCACACGGCAGTCATGCAAGAGTCTTTATAGAAAAGGCGGTTAAAAGGCTCCAGGTATGATTATTCTTTTGTGGATCACCCTCAGCCAGCCTTACATGGCTGATTGGAATATACAAGGACGCTATTGCAAGAAGGTATTCAGCTGGAGGTCCGTATTCTAACTCCCTCAATTTACCGTAAAACTTGTGGAGAAACATGGTGCAATATCTCAAAGGAGATAGTTTCTCTTAGGCTTAACAATTCATGAATTTGTGCCGTGATTCCAGGTTTGAAGTCTATCTTTTCATGATTATACTCATATAGGCACGTCTGGTGCTTGCAAGACGGTGTGTCGTTAGGAGAGATGTACTATAGAATTAATTAATGTTTCCTTTTTAGTTCTGATGGTAAGAGTTACGCGCGCAGTTCAACAGGTGAAAGCTCATATCCCTTCAACCAAGTCTAGTTTGGTCGCTATAACAGCGTGAATGCAGCGCATGGAGGGATTGTCTTCACTTATGGGATTTTCTTCAGCATGCGGAGAAAATTATGGCTTATCTTAGGAATTTGTGGCTCCTAAATTTGAATACTGACATGCAATCCTCATCGTCCATTCTAAAACACAATTTTTTCATTGAAAAGGAATTCACAGACCATTCGTCGAGTTGCACACAAATTGAAGAATCCGATTCAAAGCGGCTTTTTCTGACATTCTAACAAAGCCACACGATCTTTCTTTAAGGATTTTTGCCTATCGTTTACCTACTAAACCATTATTAGTACTTCCAGCACAACGTAAATTGTCACAAATTAATAAATATGATTTTTGGGATCATGTTAAGAATAAGCACCCCATACGTTACTCGGGTGCGTAATCTTAAGGTTAATTGAATGAAAAATACAAACAAATTATGTGTATTAAAAAATTTTTTACGAATTATCATTCAATGTAGAAAAATACATTGCAAAACGTTAAATCCCAAATGATAAGCTAAACATCTTAGTCAAAGTATTTTGCCGCAGTATGATCACATAAAGCTTCAATAGCATTTTGAGAGAAGCTTTTTCGACACATGAGTTCTTGAAGATTTGAATATAAAAAGGAATAGGGAGGATTAACAAAGTTATTCTACAAGTTTTATTCTAGGTAGCGTTTTATCAAGAAGGATATACAAGGGTACGTTTTCTTAACAAGTTCATACTGGGGTGCTTATTCTTAACAAGATTGTTTTTTTGTCTCTATGTATGGTTGGTGCTTTTGAACAATTTAGTTCCCAGAGAGTCTGTTTGCCGAGCCAACGTCAACATGTAACTAGAAATGAAAATAATAATACATTATTACAGAATATAATACAATATCCCGCTGAAATCTGTGTTTTTATTATAATGAATAGAAATATATAATAATTTTCTCATCATCACCTTACCATTTTCTGAAATTTACAGTGAATCCATTCATTTCTTATGAATAGTTAAGTGATTACAGTCGATGTTCTACCGGTTATTCATATCATGAAAGATACGGTTGATTACCTAATTAATAATTCAAGTTTAATGGACACCAAAGATTGATTTATTATGAACAAATACAAGCGTATTTAACTTTAGTTCAGGATATCCCATGCAAATAACTATTATTCGTCGCGAATCGTATTTTAAACTCAATAAGCTCCATTTCATCATGCAAATCGGGAATGTTTGACAGTGACAGTTGTATGGTGGAACTGATCTATATCGATGATTTCGCAACTTGCCATATCAGAAAAATCCTCTACACAACAAAGCTCGATAAAAACATACAATAATACATTTCCATAGTTGAAGCAACAATCCAAGAAATAAACAATTGAAGCAAGATAATTAAGGGATCAATCTTAGCCTGATCAGCTGAAAAATCTTACTTTGGGGTAAAGTTTCATTACCTGGCACAGAGTTTGAGCACGAGGCGAAGTTGAGGCAAGGCTCGTAGCGACACTCGTCCACATCCAGACAGGAGGAGCCGTCGGGACTAAGCTGGAAGCCCTCGCCGCAGCTGCGGACCAGGGGGCGAAAAAACGCTTTTTAGACCACAAACCGAAGAGAGTGACATTTCTTCCAGCCTTATTGGCGGATGCAAGCTATATTTCAGAGGTTTTTACGAACAATTGACAACGGAAGTCATACTGCACTGAAGTTTTGTGTGGTAAACTCCAGCGGTATTTTGTATAGAACGACAGGTGGGTGTTTGTTTTTACGGGACTCGACCCTGCGTGCTCTGAGATTTTTGTGTTTGTTTTGTTATGGCACAACAGTGGTTTGTGTGTTAGGACGCAGCGTTGTGTTGAGCTGTGTTTAAAGTATTTGTTTTAGAGAAAAGAGTCAAAGAGTTTCCTTTTATTTTAATCCATGTCAAACCTAGCGTAATGAATTTATGTATACCTTCAGGGATAAGGCCGGAACTAATTCATGAACTTACGTTCAGAATCACAGAGTAGTCCACTTCCATCCAGATTCCAAAATTATTCATAACAATGCGCACATAGTGAAGTTATGAATGCAATGAAAAGTCTCATAAAAATGTCTTCATGTATGCGAATTCTTTTTTAAAGGTTCGTTCGCATCATTCATTACATTGTGCCACTGGTGAAATTTGTACCCACCAAAAGTTATAGTCTAGACAAAAGCTGAACCCAAATGCGGACACAAAGACGCTTCTTACCCGCACTTGAACTGCTTCCAAGTATCCAGGCATTTGTAGGGCGGAGAGCAGGTGACGTTGACACAGGCTGAAGGTGGCACGCACCCCGACGCCAGGTCCAGCGCAGCCTCCACGGCCCCCCAGCGGGTGGCGTTCAGGGCCGGGGGCATCGGCAGCCGTCGACCGCTTACACGCACGTCGTCCAGGCAGCCTGGACCAAACTATTGACAGGTTTGAGGTGCCTTTTGGTTCAGTATCTTGACGAGAGGTTATTGAGTGAGAAGCAAAAGACACGAACGTCGAGTAAAAACCAATTCAACCTTCACGCACGTCGTCCAGGCAGCCTGGGCCACATTATTGAGAGGTTTGAGGTACCTTTTGGTTCAGTATCTTTGACGAGAGGTTATTGAGTGAGAAGGAAAAGAGGGATCGGCAGCGATGAATGTTTGATCATCGATAAAATTGACCGAGCTGTTGTCTCTATGTTTTTCAATTATAGGCGTGTATCTGTTAAGTTTCACCAGAAAAAAATTGTGAACACCTAAAATGTCAAAGTAAATAATCAGTAGATTTAGGAATAAAAAATAGAAGTTTCTAACCTTCTTTGAAATTCGTGTGAATGACGGGCTTCTCGCCAACGGATCTGGGAGATTTACCGCCAGGATGAGGAGCATCCGCTCCCCACAAATGTTCATCCCGCCACTGCATAGGAGCGGCGAGTGATGACATTTCTTCCTCCTGTGACAGCCTCTGGAGCTCCCTGTCGCCGTCGTCTGCTGTCAGCTCCAGGACGTTGCCGAACCTGAGAGGACATGCGGCGCTCGTGGCTCAAGTGGGCAGAGTTTGGAAATTCACTTGGAAATGAAGCTAACGGCAAAGGTTGTATAGCTTTTAGTGCATTTTCTCATTTATGGAAAGAATGCACTATTGTGCTCGCCATGTCCGTCCGTGACTTCACATTTTCGTCGACGAGAAAATGCGCTCTCTGTCACTCACTGCAGTGAGTACTGAGTTACATTTTTTGATCCTATGCCGCTGAAACTTTCTTCATGACGAAGTCATAAGCAGTTGAAATAAAAAAATTACATTTTACATGTTTAATGTTGATGTGCACATGAGTCTAACCTGCAGTCAATCAGAATGCAGATTAAAAGCTTAAAGATACACAAGAGCATAATTAAATTAATCCACTTTTGCGAGGGTATACGCTTATGAGCCTTTTTTTTTTACTTTTTATAACCCTGGCAAGAATGTGAGTTTTGAGGGAGTTAACTATTATTTACCTATAAGCTTGGGGCAAATTTTGTAGCAGTGTCATTGTGTCATTTAAATTACTAATGAATGAGAATAATATGCCACCAATCTCATACACGGATTACATGAAAATCAAGCATTATTTTCATGTGTTATAATTAATGCAGCACAATGACAAGAAAACGCTACAATTTTTAATATATATGTGCTCGCTGTAAAGCGTTTTTTCCTTATTTGGTAGCGCTGACAATCAAAATAATAAGTAAAGCATTTTTCACACATCTAGGTAAGACGATGCAAAAATATTACATAACAGCGACCCTCAACAGGCAGCGAAATATCACATCGCCAACACAGTGAGAAGCATAAAGTATGGCATGTAGAATTAACAGCGCTCAAGAGGCTTTATTGTGCAACATTGTGTCATAATTGGTAAAAGCGAGGCTAGATTTATAATAATAGTCACTTCCAAAACGAAAAATTCCATCACCTTGTGGCTTGAAGCGCCAGTCTTCGCGACAGTAAACTCAATTGTTTATTGTTGTAGTAAACAATAAACGAGAAAACTAAGTGAATTCCCAGAGTTTAATTCAGTCTTTGTTAAGAAGGATGCTACCCCTTTAGAGAGAGAAAATTTTCGCAAGAAATGGCAGGAGAGACTCAGGCGGAAAAGCATGGAGACTCGGGTCAACCAAGTGCCGGGGCGTAATGAGGAGTAAACCTCTTCTGTGATCAAACGAACTCGAGTTCTGCATGAATATATCTGCTATCTGATGGACTGCATTTCTGCTCTTGTTTTCCGAAGCGCAAGTAGCGGCATCGCTGGACGTGTTGAACATGGCTGTGTTCAACTTCCAAGAAAACGCTTCCAGACATCGGTATTAATTCTTTGCTATATATTAAATTATTGCAAATTATTTAGCGGCTTTTGTCAGTACCCATACACTATTACAAATTATAATTTTCATACCATGTTTTAAAGTTTAAATACTATGCTTTAAACATTAAATACTACAACATCTCCTGAAGAAATATAACTTAAAAGTTGGACCAAACATTTACTAGCAGGATTCAGAGAGTGCAGAACGCAGGCCTCAATCTTTCCAAGCTACAAATAATGGGGAAATTTGGTGCAATTTTCGAGCGGCATTTGTTCGTACCCGAGGAAATGACGCAAAATAATTCGTTATTTCCTCAATTTTATTAGGAATAACCTGTGTGCAGCTGTTGTGTGCTGCTGCGTGCAGGAGCAACAAAGCAAACCGCAATATAAGGAAGAAAAAGGTGGAGCTTCTTGTTGCCTAAAATAATGTAAGGTTGATTTTTACCATGATCATTTACCACGTAATCTAACCAAAAAGTTGTTGCTCAGTATTTTTACATTCCAGTTCGAGTCGATTTCAATTCAATTTAATTCCATCGATGAGAAGAACTGAATTTAATGCAATGTATTGTTATGCATAAATATTGTTGCAGAACAAAATAATATTATTGCACTGCATATTTTATAAGCTAAGCTTTTGCTGAGCTCATTGGAAAGATTCAGGGGGGCATTCTATGCTGTGAAGTCATACATTTTTGAAGTGGGCTCGAAGATTTTATCTCCAGGTTCTTGGTTGTTCGTCGTAGCATTTCCCCTTATATGCAAAGTTCTAGTAAGAATCTGTCCAGATTGATTGACTGTAGAAAAAAATCCCCAGATTTTCCATCTTGCATTCGTTTGTGCATGGCGACTTAAAACCCCTTAATAATTTTTCATCGCGTATTCGTTGATAAATGTAGACTAAGACTCGTTTATAATTTTATTTCAATAATTAATTCATGCACGATGTATTAAATTGATGATACAAAGTTGGACTGAAATCGAGATCCGATTGTCAGGCGGACGAACTTAGCTGCATTTCAATGTGATCTTTGTGAGCTGGAGCTAACTTTATTTACACGTGAGCTTGAATTAACTTTATTTACATGTGAGCTAAAGTTAACTTTATTTACATATGAGCTTGAGTTAACTTCATTTACATGTAAGCTTGAGTTTTGAGTTAACTTTATTTACATGTGAGCTTGAATTACCTATATTAACATGTGAGCTAAATTTAACTTTATTTACAAATGAGCTTGAGTTAACTTCATTTGCATGTAAGCTTGAGTTAACTTTATTTACATGTGAGCTTGAAATAATATTATTTACATGTGAGCTTTAGTTAACTATATTTAGATGTGGGCTTGAGTTAACTTTCTTTACATGTGAGCTTGAGTTAACTTAAGAGAATTTTTTAATGGCAGTACGACCTCTCTTCGTTTGAATTTATGAATAGTATCTTGTACTCCAACTTGTTGCTGGGAATCTATTACGAATCGTCAATATTAAAAATTATCCTCAAAATGGAAGCAATAAAGTATAAATTAATAAAGAAATTAATCTCATGTTAGTTTTGAGCACTGAGCGCGATGTTAAGTTTATCTAGGGCTTTGTGCTAGAAATTTTTGTGATGGATAGAAGTCATGTATGAGTCACGAAACAATAAAAGCGTATCGGTCGGAAAAGAGTAACGATAGTTAATTTCTCTAAGCGAGGTGTTTGAGCTGAAAAACCTATGATTACAACCAACATCTGTTGATATTGGCTCTGCAGGACAGTGCAGACTAATTTAGAGTATCTCTTCAATATTTTATCTTAGACTTCTGAATGTTCCGGGTAATGAATCAAAATTATATAAGATTAATTATATGTCTATTAATTTGAAGAAGATTACCTGCTTCAACGCCCAAACTTTTTTTGTTCATTATTCAATGTACTGAAAATTTTCGAACAGGAATGCAGAATGAATGATATTTATCATGAAGTAATTAAATTCTGAATTTTAAATATTGTTAACATTTAATGTACGGAAAACTTGCATTCATGATTTGAGAACTTCTATTAGATGTGAAATTATACATTGTAATTATAATTATAATTATACATACTCTTTTTTCATACAAATTATACATACAATTATAAATTACTCTTAATTATACGTGCTCTTAAGGGGACCTACCTCCCTTCGTAAAAACTTCTACAGTTATTATCCGATCATCGTGAAACTTCACATTCAGACGTAAAATGTAAAAAAATAACATTTTGCTCATACGAATTTTCCGAAAAAATTGATAGAAAACGTGATATTCATAGAAAACGGCTAATACCGGGTACTATAGAAAATCTATCTCCTCCTACAAATATCGTCCTACAACATCAAGACACGTATCATTCGATTCGTAAAGACCATACCTATCAACTCTGGCATCCTTTTTTTCACTTTCCCTATAGTTTCTTTTTATGCGCGTTTTTCCCATTTTTCCCAGCCCTCCCCCCCCCTTCTCCCCCATCTACAAGTCAAACCATGTACAAATTCGAAAAAAAAGCTTCTAGAGTCGCTAGGTATGGTTTGTACGAATCGAATGGTATGTCTCTCATTGCCGTAGCTTTACAACTTTTGGAGTTATAAACTTTTTAAGATGGCGTTTTTTTTGGATTTTTGAATTGTTCAGGAGAGCCAAATAAAGTAAAATTCATTGAAAACAGAAAAATATGCCCAAAAAAGTCTTGATATTGTAGCCCAAGCTTTCCCATTGCCAATTATTTGCATTCAGGGTACCAGCAAGCGTCTTTAGACCTATTTATGTCAAATTTAATGTGAATAATAAGCTATAAATGGGACTTTTTATATATAAATGTATATATATGAAATATTCATTTTACATAACGTTACAACTGCATTAAGCAAAAACTATTGCATGTACATCAATGGTAGTGGCTTTGTTGACCGTGTCTTGTTTGTAGCTTTCAAACGAGTGCAAACACTTTGCAATTAACCTAAATAATGACATATAAATACCATTTATTAGTAAATGATGTTATAAAATGATCATTTTATAAAAGTTCAAGACTGCATTACACGAAAAAGTATTGCATGTACATCTACGGTAGTAGCTTTGTTGAACGCGTCTCGTTTGTAGCTTTCAAACGAGTGCAAACACTTAGTAATTAACAAAAGTAATGATCTATATATACAGATTTAATTCAAATAAATCTTTGTACATATTGTTAAAAAATGTTCATTTTATATATTTTTAAAATTGTCTTACGCAAAGACTATAGCACGCACAGACATGCGGTACCCTGCGTTAGACGCGCTTTTTCAGCAGCTACAAAATGAGTCAAGAAAACGGAAAAGCCAAAATTTCCGATATTTAGGGAGGTAGGTCCCCTTAATTAGAAGAGAATGTCATAATTCTCAGAAATTATACATACTCTTAATTATACTGAGCTATGAGCTTACAGTGTAATTTCCTACCTCTCCATTGAGTCGTATATTCCTGAGACATCCTTTGAAGTAGGATTGTTTATCACCATTATTCTCGTGCAATGCATCACTGGAACTTGCGTCCATGGCTCCGAGTTGCAAAGGCGCGCCTCTTGTGTTGAGTTGTCCAGTCAAATCTTGCGCGTGCACAGCATTTCTGCAGTAGAATTGTTTGGCCAGGCCGGGCCCGCGGTCTTCTTCTAGGCCGGGACCGCGGTCTTCTTCTAGGCCGGGACCGCGGTCTTCTTCTGTTGTATTTTCAGGGGGCTGTCCTACGCAGTTGTCGATGATCATCTCAACTGTCTGCGGATTATGAACCGACTTATTGTGCAATTTAATGCTTGTATCAAAAATATGGATAGTTTAATATAAATCAAATGATCAAACAATTTCAATGTATTAGGAAAGAAAATTTTTGTAAACAATTTCATCAGTTACGAAATATTATGGGTTTAAAGCGATAATTGAAATTATAAATTACTATAAAAAAATTTTAGAAGGTGATTCACGGAGAGAGTTTATTTGCTAAGTTTCTATTGAAGATAGCAGTGCACAGCGTAATTTCCAGATTACAAAATTTTTACTAGCGCTCTGTGGTATTCAAAGCGTGGCTTAGAATGATTGTTGCTTTGAAAAGGGGACTAGAAAATTACGGTATAGTTGCTGTTTTCAAGATGGTTAGAATAAATGGTTCCGTCTTCAAATTGGTCCTATAATTGTAATAATGGTTTTGGTGTGAACATCATTAGAGCAATTATATGACGACTGAAATTAATTGCCAAAGCTTATAATAGAATTATTTGAAATGAAAATTCTAATTAATCGAAACACGTACTTTATTTCGCCAGAAAATGTCCACACGATGCCACCGAAGGTCTGCTAGAGAAGTATTGACGCTCACGTCAACAGCGGCGGAGTTGAGGGACAAACGAAAAAGCGGCTTTCCTTCTGTTAGTTGAAGTACCAGACCCACTCTCCTATTTCCGTGCTTCTCAACACTGGAGAGTACGGTTCCATTCTTTGAGCCGGTGAGTAAAAATAAGCGTAGCTGAAGTTTTGAGCAAGGGTTTAAAGGTTGAAGCCAAAGCCATGACCCAGAGCCTCTCGCATCGCTCCCGGCAAAGTGCCGAGTCAGGATTTTGCAGCGAGGCCCAATCGTGTGGCCCGGGCAGACGCACCTGCCAACTCGCGGGAAAATTACCAAATAGAAAATCGCATCTAATTTTACGTTAATATTCCTATTATTAAAAGCAGGGTGCTGCTGGTCTTCAATAATTAGATCTATTATATCAGGTGGCAAATAATTAAATAAAATAAAATTGAAAGTAGAATACAATTTTCACAAGTCTTGAAGTCTTGATATTTGCAGCTCATACTAATAACAGGATATATAAAAATCGTAAAAAGCTCAATGATTTACCTCTCTTAAAGAAATTAACCTACTATATCTGCTCTAAGCAAGCTGGATTTTATTGTTAATTTGAACTCACTTGTATCCAGGAGCTGAAGGCAGGCACCTGCCTCCATTAAGGCAGGTGTTTTCATTGCAATCAACAAGTTTTCCGTTGACGCGCTTGTTCCTCATAGCGTGAGCATAAGGCGCTCGGGTCGCCGCCCCTCCTTGCCTTTGATCGTTCAAGGATTGCTCGCCTGCAAGCCTGGGAGATAAACCTGATGTTCCGCCAATCTGATCGTCCAATGTTGGGTTCACTTCACTGACCGTCGAATTACTTATGCATTTGCAATTGGAGTCTAGGCTCAGGATCGGAGCGACAAAGGTGGCAGTCGGAGTCTGAGTTATTGAGTAGCCTTCAGACAAGACCGTGCGGGGACTGCAGCAACATTCGCAAGACCTGCCGCAGTCTAGAGTGCCTGCTCTGCTCATCCCAGACCCCAGAATGCTCAGCCCAAGGTGCTCTTCTATCTGTGCCAATATTTGTAGCATCATAAAACATCAGGAGGGATTTCCTTCCAAGAATATTTTGTGCATTAGATAAACTGGTCGATCATCAAAATTAAATTAACACCACAAATAACGCTTACGCAATTTGGTGCAAACAAAATTTATTTTGCAAAAATGTATGAAAGGTATACTTCAAAAGTATATTTTAACACATTTGAAGCTGGAGAAATCCAAAGTCATGATTTCCGAACAATTGAACGAACCTGTGCTTTATTCAAAGCGATAAACAATTCTAAAGACGTTTTGGTCGAGTCTGCGAGCCAGACTCTGGAGACATGTTCGCCTGAGTTTTGTCGGATTCCTTCTAGCGATACAACTTTAACCGAGGGAGTCCTGGGTTCATGGGTCAAAAATTCAGCGGCTGTCCAATTCAAAGAGAATCCGTGACTTGCGCGCCATCTTAGTCGAGTGAGAGTCACCTCGAGTGCATTGAGAAGTGAAGTGCCAGTCTATTGGGAACAGATGCAAACGGTAAAAGATTATGACAGAATCCCACAACGCTGTTAAATTATGACAAGTCATGTATGATACTCATTCATTTTAATGGACATACAAGATGACAATTCATTTTTTCTAAAATTGGTTAGATAATTATGGAATAAAATAACAAGACCTGCGTGGTGTCGATCAACGCCGCGGGTTTAGCCGTGACATCGACAGGCGTGCTGTGGAGCGCCTGGTGCCTCGCCTGCCGCCCCACGGCCACGTTGAGGCTCGCCTGCACGTCAGGCGCAGGCGGCTCATAAATAGCGATGCTCAGGCCGTAGCTGCGGGGAGATGAGTTGCAGAGGGATGAATTTATATTATATATGTTATTATTGTATAAATATGGATTTAAAAAGTCGGGCACGACTGGGGTAGAAGTTAATGTGTGCAACTGCATCATAGGAGCATGAGGATGTCTGAAGTTGATTTATGAATGCGTTAGGATGAGAGAAAGTGTTATTTGCATAAAATATGTAGGAATTAGATTAGAGACGTAAGCATCAATCTATTGGAAGAATCGTAACCTACTCAGTCGATAGAAAAAATAAATTAGTGTAAAATTATTGCAAGTGTTGATTCTTAGAAATAAGTCCATCAATCTAATCATGATATAACACACCGCAAAAACTAAAAAACAAATTCAATGTCTGGAAAGTTAACTGTTTGTGTTTATCTGCCAGAAGAAATTGGAGCCGAACAAACCGAGACCTGATATTTTTTGAGCGACAAAATAATGTTACTGACAATGACGTTGGCTGTACTCACCTGCCAGAAGGAGTAGAAGCTTCAGCAAACAGGTTTCCTGATCTTTTGTCCAGCACAAAATACTTGTGGGACCTCGACCAAGAATATTCTGCTTTGCCAGACTCTTTTGAGGAAACTGAGCCTAGAGGAATGGCTTGCCCGATTTCCATCTCAGACTGTGAAAGAATTAAAAACTTGAAAACGGTTGGAATCAATAAACTGTGATGTTGTGAAGAGCAACGCGAAACGTACATTGATTGCACGCGGTTAATTGCGCTCTGGACAACCTCGAGGAAATTAATATGAAAGTATATAAATCTTCTGCTAGGAGACAATGAATCATTTCACGTCATTTTTCACAAAAATATTCTCTTCGTAGAGAGATTCGAATTGCACACCATTTTGAAAAATAGTTCAGTATTGAAATACTGAATAACTAAGCCTATCAAATTAAAAATGCGTAAGTAATAAAATATTTGATTGAATTTCACTCAATTTTTAAATCTGAGATTTGCGTACGTTGAGAGCAACAAGAGTGACGTCCCTGACAGCTATGGGGCTGTCCTCGCTGACGACGGCGATGGTGAGGGACACGGTGCCTGTCATGGCGGGCCGCCCCCCGTCAGCTGTCAGCACCGGCACCACGAACGACGCCGGCGCGTCCATGTCGAAAACCAGTTCCCGAATCAATTTTATTCTTTGCGTTCATGAACGATCAACCAGAAGCAACTTGAAGCCGCTGCTCCATGCATGTTGATGATTAAAAGTTTCTACATCAATTAATGATACGTCATTAAAAGTTGTACTGCTAGAAGAATTATTGATATAGATTAGTTGACTTGGTTGGTACATGGTACTGTTGGCAGTGGCTTTAGAAAATGACAAGCGTGCTTCGTCTCGGTAAAAATATTCAACGGCAAGCTTAAGATACGATAAAACAAGATCTTAACGATACACTGATGCTTGGGGAGTCGACAGTGCACAAATAGGAGTTATGTTGACATGGATGTGTGTTTTTCAAACACATCGGAGCGCAAAGGAACTGAGGACTAGATGAGGATTAAACCTATTAGAGGTAAAAGTTCGAATCATTTTTCATTTAACGTCAGTCGTTCATCGATTTGGCTAAAATACAAAGTTTTCGGCATATCAAAAACAAGCCATAAAAGTCAAGGACGTTTGGAGAATCGTCGACAAATTTGAGACGGCCTAATCTTCAATTAATCTTCAACGTTTTTTTCCGATAGTTTATAAGCTTTGAGTCGGTCATTGGCGTTTCGAAAGCGTTTAATGCCTACATAACTAATGATTTAACGCACCATGGATTCATTTACAGAATTCACTTGTAATATATATGAGGTTGCAAGTGATGAGGTAAATGTGGTAATCATTTCCTATACGTCAATGATTATTCGGCTCACGTTTCTCCGAGTGGCACTCATCGCTCATAAATCGCTGGCGCGGCGCAACGCGTTTAATCTTGGCTTGCATTGCTGCCAACAAACTCTTTAGTAGGTAGTGGTACTAATTTCATATTACTATAAATACTTTTTTATTGCCAAATACTAGTTCCTTAATTCGTTTGGTCCAGTTTTTCTATTTGATGTCAACTCTCATGATTTTATAACTTTCCGGTGAAGGCCGAATAAGACCACGAACAAAAATTTTTGTCTTTGTCTTCACTATTTCAGCCTTGGGGTAAATGGAGGGGCGCGTGTTGGGACGTACCGTAAAGTTATGGACGAGGTTTGTTCGGGCAGCTGGAAGAAGAGAGCAATCTGAAGGAAACTGTTCGCTGAAAAGCTCGTGGGCACAGTTTTGGTGGAGCAGTCGTGGCCTGACCAACCAAGTTTACACTCGCACGTTTCATCGCCAGGAGATCCTTCGCAGCTGCCGACAAAACAAAGGGCGTGTGTTGAAATTATACGCAAGGGGAAATGTCGTATGGTGGTCTATGCAACTCAGCATTGATCACACTAATAAATTCACCGACTTATTGCTAATAAAACTCATTTAGTGGCCTGGACTAGCGAAGGTGAATAAAAAAACGTCATCATCAATATTCAATGAGGCTTTACATTGCAACGCTACATGTTGTAAAATAAAGTAA